TGAACCTGATGCGGGGCTTGAACTCACAAACCGTGAGATCATGGCCTGAGCCGAAGTCAGACGCTCAACGGACTGAGCCACCCAGGTGCCCCTGTTTTACCACAATTTTAAAAAGGTCCTAGACTCCAGAGCCAGCCAGACTGCTGAGTTTGAATCCCCGCTCTCTGATTTAAAAGCTGTGTGACTCTGGGCAAGTTGCTGAACCTCTCTGGGACTCAGTTATCTCATTTATAAAATGGATATCTTAATAATGCCTCTCTAGAGGGTTGTTGAGGGGATCAAATGAGTTTATATATGTGATGTGATAAGAACACTGGTCCATACTTTGTGTGGTTATCACTATCTTTATCAGCAGCAGACCAGAACCTAGGTCCTGGGGGCTCTTGGTCAAGAGCCTGTGAAGCTGGGCCGGTGCCTTGGGGCAGGCGGGAGGGACCAGACTTGCTTCTGCTCTTGTGCCTAGGCCGTGTTGTGCACCATCACAGGCCTATGACTGGACGGAGCTCCCTGGGGCCTGTGTGGTGGGGCAGAGGGAACCCTGGGGGGAATCCAAATCTAAGAAGCTAGAGGAGGAAGGCGGCCTCATGGGAAGACAGGATGGATGAGGCCCACCCACGATGTGGAGGACAGTCTGCTTTACTCAAGTCCACAGATTTAGATGTTAATCTCATCCAAAAACATCTTCGCAGAAACATCCAGAATAACGCTTGGATAGCCGTCTGGGCACCCCGTGGCCCAGCCAAGTTGGCACACAAAATTAGCCATCGCGGGAACCGATTGCCTCTTGACTGGGGACATACAAGGACACTCAGGAGGCCCCCCTGCATCCTCTTGGCCACTCCTTGATCCATTTCCCACCAAGAACCACAGAGCTCTCTCCGAGCATGGATCTGATCTTGCCACTCCCCTCTGCTCTAGGGATAAATATCGCATTGTAATTATTACTTACAAGGCCCGGCTTGCCTCTGCCTGGTTACCAGTTCTCCTGCTCGTCTGCCTGTGCCTCAGACTTGCTCTCTGCTCTCAGCCGTATTGGCCTCCCGTGTGCTCGCTGTGCCTTCTCTCATCTTTGAAGATGCTGACTCTGACTTTTTGGGAGCATCCCCCCACCCCTTACCCAGAGCTCTTGACTCCCATGTCCCACAGGCTACCCTTACTTGTCTCTTCTGCCTCTGGGTCAGGCCTCGGGCTGAGGACACTCAGGTAAGTTAGATGTGGGCCAGGACAAGGCAAAGGGACAGAGTGAGACAGGATGGACAAGACACTGTGAGAGCAAAAAACTATGGGGGTGGGAGGGGAGGGAACATGTCTGATCCCCCAAAACTCTTCCCCCAAAGGGAATCTGATTTGGTCAGATTTAGGATGCTGGGTCCTGTTTGCCAGCAGACAGGGAGGCCGTGCTGTCACTCAGCTTGTCCTTACGGTGGGACCAGAAGCTGAGCCAAGAGTGTCGGTGTTAAGGGGTGGCATTGCGGGCCTTGAACTCCTCACAACCTCCATTAGCATTTCTCCTCCAAAACGGCATGAAATAAAATTTGAAACGAGAACAGTATTCTTTTTTTTTTTTTTTTTTTT